ATTCTTTGCTGTCATTTTGTTCAGGGAAGAACTGGCAAACTAGCACAGAGAAAGAGAGAGAGATGAAGATGTACAATATAATATGGGATTCCCAAGATGAGATGACAGAAAGTAATAGCTGGATTAAGCAGTTTTAATTAGTGTCAAGTGTGTAGTTAGGTTGCCAAAAAAAACCACTAAATTGTCAGGCAGCAGAGCCTGGCATAAAGAAAGAAAGTGGGTGGAAGGATGGAGTCACTGGTTAGGAAAAAGGCAGACAGCCAGGCCTTCCCCCCTGCCCCCCCACATTCTGCACAGCCTTTGAAGAAAGTAGATGGATAGCTCTCCTCCCATCCCTACCTCTTCATTTACAAAAAAGGTTAAAAAGCTTGACCTGTACTTAAATAAACAGTGGCCCAGGCTCACCTTCCAGGAATAGCAGCCACCTTCTACTGCCTTTTGATTCTTTGAGGTAGTAGCTAAAGAAACAAAAAGCAGAAAGCATTAAATTCATTAGGCAGACTGCCTAGCTTAACCACAAGCTCTTTGATACACCAACTCATTATAATATCAAGAGGGTTACATAAAATATTTGCTTAAAGAACAAGAGAAAGAAACAGGAAGGCTGTCAGTCTGATCAAAGGGCCTTCCCAAGATCCTGAGCCAGGGAGATTGGCTTTTATCTCTCTCCAAAATAAATGCATTAAACAAATTCCTAGAATTCCTAAGATTTTCCAGGCAGGAAAGAGTTATTCCACCTGTTGCTTTTTGTGGTTTTTAGTAATGGCCACAAGGTGGGAGCAGAGTTTGAGCGCTAGACTAAATGTGCTAATACTTTCTTTAAATCCACATAAAGCTGGAATAGGAGAGGGCCAACAATCATAATGATAATAGGAAATAATAACTGAAATGTATCTGGCTTCTCCCCTTAAAGGGTTCAAGGCACTTTACAAGGTGGGTAAGCATTATTATCCCCGCTCACACAAGCAGCTGAAGAGGGGAGAAGACAGGCTCCCCGAATTAACTAGCTCAGGCTGGGGAGCGTAAAAATAAAAAGGGTGAGTGATGATGCAGGAGGCGCAAGCATCAAGTAAAAGAGCCCCCGTCAGATTTCTCTCGTAGGACTCTATCCCCGTGGCAGCCTCTCCACCTGTGCCCGGGAACCTCTTCAGCTGCCTGGGGATGCTCCCGTCAAGGCTTCGGATTCCAGCGGACTTTGGAAACCGACCGAGGGATCCGTTCAAGTGAAAGACACCGACCCTGTGATGATGCAGGAGGCGCAAGCATCAAGTAAAAGAGCCCCCGTCAGATTTCTCTCGTAGGACTCTATCCCCGTGGCAGCCTCTCCACCTGTGCCCGGGAACCTCTTCAGCTGCCTGGGGATGCTCCCGTCAAGGCTTCGGATTCCAGCGGACTTTGGAAACCGACCGAGGGATCCGTTCAAGTGAAAGACACCGACCCTCCCCCCCCCCCCCCCCCCCCAGCCTCAGGGCTGGAAAGCGGAGCCCGGAGGCCTGGCCGCGAGGGTGGGCGACGGGCATGGAAGGAAAGGCCGGCAGTCCAAAGGCAGCGGCTGCGGGTGGCTTCCTCCCCAAGAACTCGGGCGAGATGCCCGCAACCCTTCCAGTCCGCAGGCGGCCTCGGCGGGCGTGGGGCGGAACCGCAGCCCGCTGCGGGAGGTGCAAGGGCCCAGCGAGGGCAGAGACTCAGGTCTGACGCCGGCCGAGAAATCTCGGGAGGGCAGCGCTGGCGGGACAGGGGCAGGGGCAAGGGCGGACCCGGCGCCGCCCTCCCCCGGCCGGGCTGCCGTCGTTGCAGGTGACCGAGCTGTTGAGCAGGAGGTGGAGGCGCAGCTCGTGGTGCAGGTTCTGGGCCGAGCAGGGGTAGAGCGACTGCGCCAGGCTCTTGATCTGAGCCATGAAACTATCCATGTTGCCTTCCACGGCGGTGAAATCCAGCGGGAGGGGCAAGGGCGGACCCGGCGCCGCCCTCCCCCGGCCGGGCTGCCGTCGTTGCAGGTGACCGAGCTGTTGAGCAGGAGGTGGAGGCGCAGCTCGTGGTGCAGGTTCTGGGCCGAGCAGGGGTAGAGCGACTGCGCCAGGCTCTTGATCTGAGCCATGAAACTATCCATGTTGCCTTCCACGGCGGTGAAATCCAGCGGGAAGCTCTCCACGGGCTGCCCGGTCGCCTCGCTCCGCTCCCGGGCAGGCTGCCGCCCCCCCCGCCCCCCGGTCTTTCCCG